GTCAATCCACCAAACAAAACCGTCATCTCGGGACCAGCAGTTAGCGTAATGGCTAGCTATGTCACTTCATTCCCATGTAGTCGACCGCGTTTGAGTCCCAGACTCGGTGGCTTAAAACTCGCCCGCCCTATGGCAAAAACCTCTCCAAATACCTCTCGACCTAATAAACAAGGCTGCAAGACAAAGCAGATATACCAAAGCTGATTGTGTTTCTAAGCACTAGCGACACAGCGGACCATAAGACATCACAGAACACCATCTAACCGCTTAGCAGGGGTGGCTCGAACGGTAGTGTCCCTCTGCAAGGCTGGGGCTGCCTGGGAGGCCCGTTCAGTCCTGGGCCAACCTAAACAGGGTGGGCATAGCCAGCGTCCTGGACCTGTAATCCTAGCTAACTGGGAAGCTGGGGCAGGAGGATGGGACTTCACAAACCCTGTCAAAAACACTCTCTCTGTCTGCCTCCATCAGTCAAAACACCGTGTTCAATAACCTAAGGACATCAGACACCTAGGAGTAAATCTAACAAAGGATGTGCAAGACCTCTACACTAAAACTACTTTGAAATCCCTGATGGAAGAAACCAAAGCAAATGCGTGTATGTGTGTAGGGGGAGTCTTCAAAAAAGTTCATGGAAAAATACATATTTCTTTAAGAATTATTTTAGGGACCAGCAGGCGGCATAGTGGTTAAGGCGCTGGACATTCCCACATGGCCAGCCACGGTTCGCGTCCTGGGTTAGAGCGCTGGACATTCCCACATGGCCAGCCACGGTTCGCGTCCTGGACCTGGCGGCTTGCTTTCTCACTTTCTCTCTCGCTCTCTGTGTGTCTCTCTGGTCAAAATAAATGAATAAATAAAGTTAAAGAAGAATTGTTTTATTTAACTTTATTTATTTATTCATTCATTTGTTTATTTCCATTTGACCAGAGGGGGACAGAGAGAGTGAGAAGGCAACCCACCAGGTCTGGGACTCGAACCACGGTTGGCCATGTGGGAATCCAGCACCACTAACCACCACACCACCAGAAAAAATGCATATTTCAAAATGTGGATTTCAAGTCATTTCACACCCAGATAAATTTATACTTTCATTTTCCCATGAATATTTGAAGTCCTCTGGTAAATATGTTCAAGGATCAGAAATTCAATATATTCCAGTTAAGATGTCAGAGTTGACAGTGGCACAGCAGTAAAACCAGATGCTCTGCAAGATGTCTGACCCACGTGGGAAGGTTCTGGGTTCACATCCCATAGTCTAGGGATGGCTGAGGCCAGGGGTAGATCATGGTATCAAGATTCTGTTGAAGGTGTTCTCTCTCTCTTTCTCTCACTAATGAAAGAAATTTAAAAAGAAGGGGGGGGGGTTGTAGGCAATGGCATAGTGGTTAAAGCAGCTGGATCCCACATAGTTGAGTCCAGGACCTTGCGGCTTAAAAAACATATTAGTAGGGGAAACTTTTGAAGACATTAGAGTAGGCAAACATTTCTTAAATAAGATCCCTAAAGCACAGGTAATGGTCCCTAAAATAGACAAATGGGATTACATCAAGCTAAAAGTTTCCTCACAGCAAAATAACTTATAACTAAAATAAAAAGGCAACACTTGGAATGGGAGAAAATATTTGCAAATTATTTCTCAGATAAGGGATTGATATCTAGAAATATATAGGAAACGCAAGTGGCT